GGGCTTCCCACCTCACAAGTGCACCTCTGATTTGATTCTATTAGTACCCTTCTTTTACGGATTAGGGAACTAAGGCACGAAGATGCCACATAACTTGCCTCAAAATCAGTAACATCGTAAGTGGTGAACCTGTGATTTGAATCCAGAAAGTCTGACTACTATGCTGATAATCTTAACAAAAGTTCTAGAAATTACAGAATTTTAGAGATAAAATTGGGTAGAGCTGTGAGAAAAGAGAGACAACCCAACCAGTTAACCCGAATAATTATTACAGACTTAACTGATTCTAATAATTGGTTGTTAATCAATTTTAGGTTTTATTACTTTCATCTCTGTTTTTGAAGGTCTTTATCATTTTTAAATAGGAAGTTCAAGCTGGTTATTTCAGAGACGCCAGCCATATGGCATTAAATCAGAAGCCTTATGAATTATTTGGAAGCTTCTTTTGATCTCAGATGTGAAAACAGCATGATCTCATTTTGTGTCAATCCTCTGGATTTATTTTAGAACCGTAACCTATTTAGAATAACTTTTTTGTTTTCTTGGTTCCGAAATGTCAGTTTTAAAAGGCCCTAAAATTCTTAATACCTGACACTTCACAAAATAAATGCCTCCGATTTTGGCTTTGGCAAAAGTTACACAACTAAAAATGGAAATATACATTTGTGGGGTTTTGTGTGTGTGTGTGTGTGAAACATGTTTCCTCAGAAGAGGCACAATATTTTATTCTGCATCAGTAAAAATATAGAACCCCTAACAAAGGACGTGCTGTCCCATTATGTCTTCAGCTGGTGAGACATTACCTAAAGTATTATGTTCTGCTGGGAGCAGACACTTTCAAAGGGTCATTTTAAACTGAAAACTTCCAGAGAAATGTGTCAAAGATGACAAGAGAATTAGAAACCTATCACATTAAAAGTATTTAAAAGTATACCCAACCTTTAAAGTGAAGATATAAATGAGACAGGACCCTGTTTTCAAATTTTTAAACTACAGGCTAACACATGGAAGAATCGATTGCTTTCTGGGTGGCCTCAGAATAACAGAAGAGGGACGCGTGCCTGAAACCTGCAGGTTGTCTGCTTCATGACCGTTTAAGAAAGACAAAGATGTCCCCCAAATTAAAGCTACCAAAAGCATTCATGGATGAATCAGTTTAGCCAAGCATTTATTTGTTTACTCCTCCGTGAACCTTTTTCGGATTCTTTCTCTGTGACAGACACTTTTCTAACACGACATGATCAGCTACCTTCACTGAGATTTCAATCTAATGCAAAGGATGGGGTGGAGTGTAGACAAAATCAAGAAAAGAAGTTAATATGATAAAAAGTTAAAACTACTTGGGGATGAGGTGGAACCACTGTATGTAAGATTGTCATGGGAGAACTGATACATGCCCTGAGAACTAAAATATGGGAAGGAGCCTCCTATGCAAAGATTAAAGGGATAAATGAACCAATATAAACAAAGACCGTGAGGTGGTCACCAGCTTGGACTTTCAGAGGACCTTAAAGCCTGAGGCTGAGTTGTAATGAATGAGAGAAAGAGTAGTAAATGTTCCGGTCTGAGACTGACAACTGTCTTTCTCCGACCTTAAACAGCTAGGTAAACTCTTAGGAGATCCTCTCCAATTCATATCCTATGAGCATCCAAAACTTCAAGCTTCATATTAAAATTCTTTGAGGTAAACTCTGATGTTTCCTTTGTGCAAGATGGATATTTTAATACCTGCAACAAGGTAAAATTAAAAGGAAATTAGAGATCCCTGTGGCAGGTGGTACTTCCAAGATGGCAGCAACCAAATCGTTCATCCTATATGCCTTTACAAACTAATGTTGACACTCTTCCCATTTGAGAGATAGGCTCTGCATGTCCTCCTCTGAATCTCTGGACTACAGTGGAAGTGACATCCGATGACTTCCAAAGCTAGGTCATTATAAGGGATGTACCCTCTGCCTGCTAATTCTGGAAACTCAGCCACCCTGATATGAGAAAGCCCATGTCATGTGGACACATGTGAGAAAGAAAGCTTTTGAGATCATTCCAGACCCAGCCACCATCCGACTGGCACCACGAGCAAGACTCTGAGCGAGAAACACGGAACTGGAACCAGTCGGCCCCCAGGACCATGAAACAGAAGAGTGAAATAATTACTGTTGCTTTAATCCACTAACTGTGATGATTTGTTTAAAATACAGAAATAAATAGCTGGAACAAACCAGGTTAAATTCTTACAGAATAATTAATACCTAAGTAGTAATATCTAATTTAGCTATGTGAATATATAGTTTAGGACCCAGGCTATGTGAATATATAGTTTAGGACCCACTTTTCCCCCCCTTTTTTTGGTGGTCCGAAATGAAAATCATTTCCAAAAACTATTTTCTGAAATGCTTCAGGAAGTGTTATGATTTTGATATTCTTTCCTTTTGGCCATAGTCTTCTGTTAAGCTTCACCATTATTGTTTGGAATTTCTTTTATCCTTTGTTTGAAGCTAGTTTGCAGTGGATACTTGTTGTACCTCTTCAGTGTCACTGTCTAACTCCACTGGATTTTCCTGTGATCATCTGCAATTGTATACTGTAAT